AACCGCTCTCGCATCACCCGTCGCAGTACATGGTCATCCCGCGCACGCGTCATCGTTCACAATCCCCTGATAGACGCGAACGTGCATACCATCTCGGCGTGCCACCCAACCATGTGCATTCATGCTTTCACGCATCATCCTCGCTGTCCGCGCACCCCTCGCATTAACAGCTGCACCCATCAGCCTCTGCGTCTGGTCTGGGAGTCTCGTCTCTGGGCAGCTCTGGCATCTCGCCTTTTCCTGGACACAACGCGGGCGGAAATGCAGTGGGTGCCCCAGGGCCACTTCCTGCACCTGGCCAGGTGCCGACATATGAAATGTTTAATGGGACGCTGACGACTTCTGTGGCACCGAGTCGTGCAAGCCATGTCAATAGATCAGAAGTAATAAATATATTTCATATTCTATTCTAATGGGCTGCCTTTGGGGTGAGTATACCATGCCAGTGAGCTCGTGTTGACTGTGTGGCATGTACATTCGGATGGACTGGCCGTCCTTGTCACCGCCGTGTGATGGCTTGCAGTAGCGCATCCCCCTGCGTGTCCGTGTCTGCCTCGCCGGCGCTGCACCTATTCCTGAGTGCGGGGAATACGCAGGAGACACAATGCCCAACAAAGAAAAGAAATATACAATTAATGGAGGACGATCTTATAAAGAGCTGGATGAGGCATACTAGTTATCATGTATGGAATCAACATATTATGAGAATAATGAAAAGAACCGATAGGGCTCACTCCCCGATCAGGGAGCGAAGATAACTGACATGTCCATATATTGCGATCAAAATGAGCGTTAAACATTAGACTGCATATCTGAAACATTAAATGAATGCAAGAAAAATAAATACAACTCATGGAACAGCTCAGAGTGTGGCAACCATGGTTAATCTGTGACTTAGTACATAGAGAGAAAGTGAGTGAACGTGATGGTAACCGGTCGCGTATGCAGCGTTAGGTGCACGGTTGGGAGGTTTGAATTGATTTTAAATGCGAATCGAGTCCGGTCGAACATGGTCATGTGGTTTGAAATGGGTTATGGGTCGATTTGAGAGGTGAATTCAGTCAAACGCAAGCATAAGCAATAGGATAGGAATATGTGAGCAGATTCAAACCGAGGAGGACGTT